CACACAAAGGTAGCACATCCTGTACGAACCACCTATAACTGCAAAGGAAAATACAATACCGCTGGTATTTAGTACCAGCCAAAATACACAGAATATGGCCACAATCCTCTACGAATAAATGCTGGAGATGCAACACTCATGAAGGAACAATGCTACACGTATGGTGGTCGTGTACCGCACTACAACCTTTCTGGCACAAAACGCACCAACTGATTAAGCAAGTAACCAAAACCGACATAAGACTCACAGAAGAAATGTGCCTACTATTCATTCCACCAGACAACATGGACAAAACCCAGTGGACAACGACATACCACATACTGATCTCAGCAGCCATGGTGATATCTAGATTATGGAAATCGCCCACGACACCGAATTTCAAAGCTCTTCTCAACCAAATCAACCTAAACTGGCAATATGAGACCATGCTCTCGAAACAACATGGGTTGAAGAAAACGATTTCCAAGGCAAACCTGATGTGGAAAGAATATTGGGAACTCCAAGACAAGCAGAAAGATACATCACCACCCAACCAACAAAACCCGACATCACCTACCCAGCTTAGCACACCCACACCCAAATGAAGACAATAAGCATACCCTACAATACAAAGGCAATACTATAAAGAGACTACCAAGCAAGGAACAAGTCCGATTGAATGCAGAAAAGTATAATAGGAAGACAAGAAATAAGGTCACAAGACGGAAGAGCTATGACTAGCGTACAGACAGGCAATACACCCCACGCTTCCCCCCTTCACATTTAATCATACTTAATCATATTTAATCATATTTAATCATATTTAATCAATAAAATAACGCATAAGAATACAATCACATGCGACACAGACAAATCAAGAGTTAGACCACGACTACGCCAGCATAAAGAGACAACACAGTACAAGCAGCCATACACCAACCCAACCTAGGGCAAGAGAGGCAAGTAAAGATATATCCAGGTCAGGACTGTATGAAGCTATTGTGAATCTAATGAGTTTTGTGATTTGCAATGTCTGTATAATGTTCTTTACCCCCCCTAACCTCCCTTTCCTTTCTGTACCCCCACCTGCTTTAAGACAAATAAAAATTGTCAAATTGAAAAAAAAAAAAAAAAAAATGGAGCATCACATACAAAAATGATAATAAAAGCTATAGGTAAATTTCAATGTCTCATTAAATGGATACAATTCAGAGGCGTGACCGTTAAGTTGAATGAAGAATATTCTGTTTGTTTTTTTATGACATTTTATATGCAGATAATTTAATTTGACAGAACAGATAACAACTGTCCTCAAATAAAAGTGGTGCTAATGAAACAGATAAATGTTTCATTAATTATTTGTGCTATAGATCTATTAAATTAATACAAAAAAACAGCAAGTTGTATACTTGATTATTAAGCTTTTATTCTTTAAAATCAAGTAAAGTTAATAGCACTCATATCTAAACTTGAAAAAAAGACATTATGCCAATAAATTAACTAATTGGTAATTTCTTAATGATCTCCTACTGGATTTTGAGTAGGTTGTTATTCAATTCACCGCAATTTCAGCTATTGATTATAAAGGCAGTCGCAATCACTTTACATTAGGACTTTCAAATCCACTTTAACAATTGCAAGGTAGAGTTTATGCCCAGTAAAGCTGAAAGGTACAAATAGTGTCAGATACTTTAATTATATCAGAGCTAATTATAGATTATAAAATACATATTTTACAAAATGCAATCAATTGCTTCCATATAACCTTTTTTTTTATAAATTGTAAAATGAAGAAATGTTTGTAATTAAAATAAATTGTAGGTACATTTGGATAAGAAGGTTCTAACTTTATATTGTTATTGGCATTCAATGCTTACTCGTACAGAACAAAAAAAAAAAAGCAAAAAAATCACCATTATGCACACAGTGACTGAACATCCAGAGTGGCAATCTGCTCATATTATCTATCATTTTTCCATTGTGTGCTCAATTGAAAAAACTGCTAGATTCCTACTTTTCTCGTCTAAGAACAAACATATCATAGTCCTTATCTCAGCACCAAGGCTTAAGTCAGCAAGTAATGTGATAGCAGAAAATGGATCAACCACAGAGAGAAGTAACCTTCTACCCATGGAGACACTTTAGAATTCATTTTTATTTTATTAAGGTAGGCGAACCAGACTTCAACACGTATTGTTTCTCTGATATCTAGTTAGCACAGTCTTCTTATCCTTGCTGGCATATTTTATCACTATTGGTAAGTTTCTATGTTTTATCATAGATTATCATGTATGTGTTAAACAATTTTTAGGGTGTTGCACTCAATATTTACATTGATGCTTTCCTGTGAGTTATCCTTACTTATTATATATTGTTTTGTTTTTTTCAGCAAGTCAAACATTAAATTCAGTGAAAAAGCCACATGCACAATGTAAAAAACAAAAACAAAAAAAACAAGTCGAAAATGTATGGCAAACAATAACAATGGCAATGGAGTAAATATTTTAGAACAATATCAAAAGTAAATATTGTGGTTCCGACAGACCAGCAGTCATCCTGTGTGTTTACCCTGGCAGTGCTTTTTTTGAAGTGGGAAATAGCCTGGGCCATTGATTCTAGTGTGAGACTAGGTTTCGCTTCACGCTGTATCTAGACAGCAGATTGGCACTTGGCGGGCATTTTCTCACTGATCCTTGTGTAAGACCTTTTTTTTTACCAACATACAGTTGTTACAAGTTATTATTTCTTTATATATATATATATATATATATATATATATATATATACCACAAGGTGGATGCATGCAAGGTGTATAAGTTTACTAAACTGGTTCATCGATTGCGGGATAAAACTTACCAGGAAAGGTTAAAGGATCTTAACATGTATAGCTTGGAGGAAAGATGAGGCAGGGGGGATATGATAGAAACATTTAAATATATAAGGGGAATCAACACAGTAAAGGAGGAGACTATATTTAAAAGAAAAAAAACTACCACAACAAGAGGACATAGTCTTAAATTAGAGGGACAAAGGTATGTTTCTCTTGATCAGATGGCCATACAGAATTCAGTGTTAAATAATTTATTAACATAAAAAAGATAAAAATGATACACATGATAGGATAACACTTAACAATCATCATGTTGCCTGCCAATAGTATTTAGAGAGGTGGTACCCTATGTATCATTGAGGAGGGATCTCCCATAATTGACAAATCAATATTTAAATACTGAGCTGGACTGGACTTAATCACTGCCTTACTAGGTGACAGTAACAATCTCCCAGTCTATATTATCTCCCACTGTATGTGAGAGTCATTAAATCAATTTAGTTCTCAAAGTGCATTTAATTTCCTAATTGAGAAAAGGCACACACAGAGAGATTTTAAAACATGGTTTACTTAAAGACGTTGTAAGCAAGTACAAACAATGTTACACTAAAACAGATGCTTAGATTTGAAGTTCAGGTGCAATGTACTTTTTTTTATATCAATCTATATTTGAATTTTTTCACATTACATTACAAAAGTATTTTAAACAGTCAGTGTTATCCAGTATACTTAACATTCATTATGGCTTAAAATCCTCTCTCTTAACAGCATCAAATGTTTCTGCATACCATTCATACCACATTCATACTAATACATACTGGTGCAAGGGAGGTTTCTGGCTCTCTAGCCTAGACCTAATAGAGAGTGTAATACCAAGAAAACTCCTGAATGATTTACTATTGAGGTCATAGACAGGCAGTTGATGTTAAATCTTTGCATAGGGCAAAATAGTCCATTGGTATCATATCTTCGTATCAGTAATCAATTCTAATTGATTATTCATTACACAGTAGCCTATCTTCATTAAAAACGTAGGTAATTTGATTTATAATTTTGGACCTCTTTAGTTGTCCCTCCCTTTTCCAATTCCTTGTTAAGTTTATTTTAAATGCTAGCAAGATGTGTATCAGTAGGTATAGTAGAGGTTTTTCCCATTTAAGCATTACTATATGGACAAGGAGGAGCTGGGGGGGGTCAGACAAACCCTACATCTAAAAACTGTTTCCAGAAGTGTTTTAAGTTTTAACCTAGTAGTATTTAATTCCTCGCATAATCACCAAATATGGTAATGTGTACCTTTTCTACTGTTGCATTTCCAGCATTGATCTGTGTGACTTTCAAAATTTATTTAGTTTTGCTGGAGTCATGTACCACCTAAAAAGAACTTTATAATAAAGTTCCACTAAATTTATGTAGTATATACCGCTCTTCTTTCAGCCCTGCCTGACTAGTGGTCACCCTATCTGGGTGGTGCGGGTTTGGCATCGGGTCATCATCGGGTATGTCTCCTCCGAGTCATCGGTGGGCACATACGTGGAGGTGAGCTGGCCCAGGTCGTTGCTCAGTAGCACATGTGCTGGTAGGTGGTTCATGGTCCCAACCTCCACTACCTTGTTTCCAGCGCCCCAGTCGAAATGAACATGGTCAGTGGTCAGGTGGTGCACAGCTCCTCCTGCTACCCGTACGGTGACTGTTCTCCCGGTCTTTTCTGCCTCCGTGACCAGCTGGTGCTGCACTAAAGTCAGTGTGGCTCCGGTGTCTCACAGACCCTGCACGGTGCGTCCGTTCTACTGGACCGGCTGCCTGTGATGATACCGGTTGTCTGCTGTGGCTTGGACGGGGTCTGCCTCATGCAAAAAGGTCCTCATTGGGGTTCGGAGCATATGTGGGGGCAGCCTGGTAGAAGTGAGTGGCAGCTGGGGGGCGTAGCCGACTTCCGGTGAGAGCAGACACATGGAATATGAGCTACGACGTTCACCGACCCGATCAGCTACAATAAGCAAACTAAATAATCATAAACTGGCACCCACACGGTATCTGACGTTGGGGAGGACATCACGTCACCCTTAAATCAGCTGAAACTGTTGGAGAAGGTAAAAATGAAGAAAAAGGACCGCCATAAAGATTCCCAAGATGGCAACAATCCGGTAACTATGTCAGATGGCCAATCAGACCACGCAGCCTACATAAAATGCTACAGGAACTACGAACCACGATCACGGCGAACTTTCACCGCATAGATGGCGACATAAGAAAGGAGATTTCCAACATAGGCGACAGAACTAGCCATCTAGAGAACAGAACAGAAGAACTGTGTGCTGCACATAATGAGGTAGTAGACAAAGTGCAGAAACTGCAGGAAAATGACTCCTTGAAGCTCAAATTACCAGACATGGAGGACAGGTCTAGGAGAAAGAATGTCCGCTTCCAGGGTATTCCTGAAGATGTGTCCTACGACGCACTCCCAGCCTACATCCTCTCCATTTGCGAGGCCTTGGTTCCAGGCCTACCAGAGTCAGCATGGGCATTTGACCGCATGCCCAGCTCGCTTCACAGGTGATGTTCCTAAAGATGTCATAATCAAATTTCACTACTTTGCACACAAGGACACACTATTGGCACAGCCAGAAATTCCCCCACATTACCAGACCCCCATCAATGCATAACTTTGTTTGCGGATCTGTCAGCAGCCACAATGGCAAGACGCAAAGAATTTATAACTATCACGAAGACCCTACGTACAAATAATGTCCCCTACAGATGGGGATCCCCAACTAAGCTATTAATCTGGAGACAAGGCAAGACTCACGTAGTGAATGATCCAGCAGAACGGGGTATGTGGAACAATGCCAGAGCCCAGCAAGAAGGAACAACAGCGTCTGCACCAAGACGAATCCAGGCAGAATGGCAGATGGTGGGAACACCTGCAAAGAAGACATGAACTTTGGGTGCTATACTTTCATCAGTGCAGCTGTGATGGTCACAATGGGAGTTAAACCCTCTAGCTAAGTGTTTTGCCTTACTCATGTACTTCATTGTTTAATTTATGCCTTTAGTTTTTCAGTTCACCAGTTTCACTTATATGTATGCAGTATGTCACACCGTACTATGTCGATACACAATCAGTGGTTTATGCATATTGAATGTTAACTATGGGGGCAAAACGTAGTCAAAAGGGCAAAATTATACCTAAACCTACAATTTACGTTAAAGTTTAGTTAATCTAACACCAGCTTTTATGTATCGGATAATGTCGGAGTTTCACATTCCCTCCCTGGGTCAAACCTCGGAAATCACTATTCTGGTGATTTTCTCACGACCCATGTTGTCGCTCCCTAAACTGGGAGACTTATGCAAATACTTTGGTTCCTTTTCTTCCTTTTCCATGCGAACGTTTGAAACAAATCCAAGGGTGTAGCTATAATGTTTCACTCAGATTGGGTCTTCACCTTACGCAAGCAATTCACAGATCTAGCGGGTAGATTTCTGATTTTGTTTGGCGAGTTAAATGGCATTCAAATAACCATTGCTTCTCTTTATGCACCCAACGATGCCCAATTTTCCTTCATTAACAAGGCAATCAGAAAAATCTTATCAATTAAAAAGGGCCATGTGATCATGTGTGGTGACTACAACTGTACATTAGATCCCACGATAGACATACAACGCACACAGGATAAGGCGCCCAATAAATCCTCAGTTAACACCAGTAAACTTTTCTCGCATCTCATTCATTCTCATGATATATGACACATGGAGAAACCTATACCCCACGGCAAAGAGTACACATATTTTTCGCCAGTACATATGACTTATACATGTATAGATTTATGTATAATAGACAAATCCACACTCCCCCATCTGATGGATCAACAAATAGGACAAAGAACATGGTCGAATCATGCCCCAATTTTGACCACTATCGCAGTACCATATCCAGCCAAATGGGCAAATGGAGATTAAACGAGTCCATCCTCAATTACCCCAACCATGTACAACAGATAGGAAACACAATAAGCAACTACTTCTCCATCAACACTACGGACAACACTACACAGTGGTTGGCCCATAAAGCTGCAATTGGAGGAGAATTCAATAAACTAGGATCACTCACAAAGAAAACATTCCAAAAAGAAAAAATAGCACTACTCTAAAACCTAGCCTCACTAGAACAGACAAACAAGAAATCCCCCTCTAAAGTAATTATTAAACAAATAGCAAATACCCAGGTAGAGCTCCAAAAACTGTATGCCCAGGACTATACTAAAAACCTACAGAAACTTCAGCAAAAATGCTATGGCATGGGCAACAAAGCAGGAAAATTACTGGCCAACAAACTAAAAACAAAATACCTGCAAACCAAAACCCCCTATATACTATCTAAAACGAATGATAAACGTTACAACCCCAATACAATAGTAGACAAATTAGCATCATACTACGAGGGTCTATATAACCTTAATAGAGATAAAGACACACACACTCCCAAGGAAACTCTCCTATTTAGAGAACATTCCACTCCCCAAAACAACACCACAACAAAACATGCTCCTAGACGCCCCATTCACTGTATATGAAGTTAGTTAGGCCATCCAATCTCTGCCCAAACATAAAGCTCCATGGCCAGATGGCCTATCAAGTAACTATTATATCAAAATGGAAACACATCTAACCCCACACATAACAAAACTATTTAATGCTATAAAGATTTCTGGCAAAATTCAACCCGAAATGCTAGAGGTGCATATTATCACACTACCCAAACCAAACAAACCACCAACGATCTGTAGCAATCTAAGACCAATCTCTTTATTGAATGCAGACGTAAAGCTCTACACTAAACTAATAGCGTCCAGATTAAAACCTTTATTAACCAATCTAATTTCGGAGGAACAGGCTGGATTTGTTCCTGGTAGACAAGTCGGGGACAACACCAGATACTGTATAGATCTGATGGACTGGGCAATCCACAGTGCACAAAGTGGGGTGATAATGGCACTAGACGCAGAAAAGGCATTTTATCATCTAAACTGGACTTACATGGAAGCTACATTAAAGGCCTTCCTTTGGTTTATCACAATCATTCATATCCAGTATACTAGCACTATATACATCACCTTCGGCCAAGGTGTTCAATACGGGATTTATGTCCAGAAGCTTCCCGATAACCAATGGGTCACGTCAGGGCCCATTGATATGGGCCCTTCCCCATTGATATTCATACTTTGCTTTGAACCCTTAGTGAGGTCCATAAAAATCGACCCTCTTCTTCTTGGGCTGAAGTCCCCAGCAGGAGAAAGGAAGATTTGCAGACGATGTTCTGCTTTTTCTCACGGAACCGGCACTCTCAATACCTCATCTCCTAGACACCTTGTTAACATATGGACGCATATCATATTACAAGAATAATATTTCTAAAACCCAAATTCTCCCTGTAAAAAATCAAATCATCCCTTAGAGATGACCTACAAAAACTATTCCCATTTGAATGACGTAAAATATTGATTTCTTATCTTGGCATCAAATTAACAAACGCGAGAAAACACACGCTAAAAGAAAACCATAAAGCGGTGTACTATAACATATCCAAACAATTGGACACTTGGGCTACATTAGACAAATCCTGGATAGGCAGAATTAACTCCCTCAAGATGATGATCAGTGCCTTGTAAAAGTATTCACCCCCTTGACCTTTTACCTATTTTGTTACATTACAGCCTTAAGTTCAATGTTTTATTAATCTGAATTTTATGTGATGGATCAGAACACAATAGTCTAAGTTGGTGAAGTGAAATGAGAAAAATATATACATAAAACAATTTTTTAGAAATAGAAAACAGAAAATTGGCATTTGCGTATGTATAACCCCCTTTGTTATGAAGCCCATAAAAAGCTCTGGTGCAACCAATTACGTTCAGAAGTCACATAATTAGTGAAATGATGTCCACCTGTGTGCAATCTAAGTGTCACATGATCTGTCATTACATATACACACCTTTTTTGGTCCCAAAGGCTGCAACACCTAAGCAAGAGGCACCACTTACCAAACACTGCATGAAGACCAAAGAACTTTCCAAACAAGTAAGGGACAATGTTGTTGAGAAGTACAAGTCAGGGTTAGGTTATAAAAAATATCCAAATCTTTGATGATCCCCAGAAGCACCATCAAATCTGTCATAACCAAATGGAAAGAACATGGCACAACAGCAAACCTGCCAAGAGATGGCCACCCACCAAAACTCATGGACCAGACAAGGACAACATTAATCAGAGAGGCAGCACAGAGACCTAAGGTAACCCTGGAGGAGCTGCAGAGTTCCACAGCAGAGACTGGAGTATCTGTACATAGGACGACAATAAGCCGTACGTTCCATAGAGTTGGGCTTCATGGCAGAGTGGCAAGAAGAAAGCCATTACTTTCAGCAAAAAAACAAAATGGCATGTTTTGAGTTTGTGAAAAGGCATGTGGGAGACTCCTAAAATGAATGGAGGAAGGTGCTCTGGTCTGATGAGACTAAAATTGAACTTTTTGGCCATCAAAGAAAATGCTATGTCTAGCGCAAACCCAACACATCACATCACCCAAAGAACACCATGTTTTTCAGCAGCTGGGACTGGGAAACTGGTCAGAGTTGAGGGAAAGATGGATGGTGCTAAATACAGGGATATTCTTGAGCAAAACCTGTACCACTCTATGAGTGATTTGAGGCCAGGACGGAGGTTCACCTTCCAGCAGGACAATGACCCCAAACACACTACTAAGGCAACACTTGAGTGGTTTAAGGGGAAACATGTAAATGTGTTGGAATGGCCTAGTCAAAGCCCAGACCTCAATCCAATAGAAAATATGTGGTCAGACTTAAAGAGTGCTGTTCACAAGCGCAAACCGTCCAACTTGAAGGAGCAGTTTTGCAAGGAGGAATGGGCAAAAATCCCAGTGGTAAGATGTGGCAAGCTCATAGAGACTTATCCAAAGCGACTTGGAGCTGTGATTGCCGCAAAAGGTGGCTCTACAAAGTATTGACTTTAGGGGGTGAATAGTTATGCACATTGACTTTTTGTGTTATTTTGTCCTATTTGTTGTTTGCTTCACAATAAAAACATTTTTTTTTAAAAATCTGCAAGGTTGTGGGCATGTTCTGTAAATTAAATGATGCAAATCCTCAAACAATTCATGTTAATTCCAAGTTGTGAGGCAACAAAACATGAAAAATGCCAAGGGGGTTGAATACTTTTTCAAGGCACTATATATTATACTTATTTCGAACCCTACCCATTACCTTAATCCAACTCACTTCTCCAAAGATTCCAATCTACTATAAATGGCCATATCTGGAAGAAAAAAAAACATGTGTCTCCTTCCACTCGCTGTGGCTACCTTTCGGGAAAGGAGGCCTCAGTGCACCAAATATTAAAAACTATTATAAAGCAATGACTCAAGGATTATATATTATAACAGGTAGAACCAAACCAATATGGCTCCATTTTGAAATTAAGTGTAACCGCTTCAACTCACTTCCCAATTTCCTATGGACATCATCCATGCCCACAGACCCTAGC